CAGACAGAGAAACGCGGCTTGAAAGTACGTACCCCACAGCTTGAAGACTTGTTCTGTCCAGTTGATTTGCACTAAGTAATCTGCTGGGAACAACGTGGAAATGAGGTATACCCCTTCTTCCGCTCCCCAAAGTGGCATGGTTCAACACACGTGATACCCTCAAACAAACCAAGGGGAATCAAACGCTTTCCACTGCTGCTCTTTTTGCACAGGGTGGAGATAATGTGGCTAAGACTGGAGCCCCGTGTGAGCAGCTCCATCTTGATTGATGTGTAAAAGCGAAAGGGGCCTCACTGAGCTATGCCCAATAAAGGCAGTCGGACATATGCATATATTCACATATATATATATATATATAAATAAATACACACATACAAACTCACAGGCGCAACCCGTGGTATAATTAGCGATTGCCACAGCTATTGGGGGGCTGGGATTCGGCCTGAGCTGACACATCCACAGTACACAATTCATGCTGCTAGCTGCAAGCCTGGGCATAATGTCAACACCTCCATCTGCCCCTTCATTCCAAGGCAGGAGGTGCCGATACGTACATCATTCATCCAAGGCTCATATCGAAAAACTTCATGTTAACCTTGTGGCGGTCAATGGCCCGGTGCTTATACCAGCTCTTCGGCACATTCTCATCAAATGAATAATCCTTCTTCAGGACTTCCTCACCCTCGTCGTCTTCAATCTCCTCTTCCTTCTGCAATGGCAAGATGTTGAAGCACCACACAAAAGGCAACAAGTCAAAAGCCTGTGGGGACTGGAAATTCAGCGTGGACGTGTAATCATATCTTTAGTTTTGCCGTCTACAAGCGCAACACATGATCAGCATGTCGGCGCGCCTCCTCCTCTTCTTCTCCCTCTTCTTCTTCCTCTTCATCTTCATCCTGCAATCTGTCTGTTGGCAATCTTCTTTCTTCCAGCTTGCCGCAATCTGCGATAATCGCACTGCTGAATGTCACAAGCACCATGTACGTGTCTGGCAACTTCCCAGTGTCCGATGCTTCGCGCGGGGCATCCAGTCTCACCCAAGCCACGGCTTGCAAAAAACAAGAGACGACAACACTACCATCGCACTCTCGGCACCATGTCAACAACAAAGCAACGCGCAACTTGACAGGGTTGGGCCAGCCATTAGGTGAGACATGAACGAAGCACGCTCGTTGAAACATCCTCCATTTCGCTTTCCAGTTTCCGGCGGGGATGGTTTGCTTGTTTGGGCAAATTCACCATACCCCGCTGAAGCACTCCCCCAGGGCAAAGAGCAAAGACTTTCCCTTCAAAGCATCGCCTCTACCAAAGGAAACTCACCTACATCGGCCCAAACGCTGATAGCGCAAATTGCCACAGCTCCGGAAAATAGCCTGGAAGCATCAAAGTCCAGCTCTGAAGCATACCGGAATCATGTGGATGTACAGCATTGTAGGCGTATATATGATCCAGTCTTCCTTGGCCCCCCCCACCCCCCCGAATGGTCATGTTCAGTCAAGAAGGTAGCACAGTGCCCCCCGCCACCTGTCGGATGGCAGCATACCCTTCAAACCCTTCAAACCCGGTGACTGGGTTCGGGTACCCGCTCTCTCCTCCATGGTGGACTTCTCCACGGCGCGCGCAGCCACCCTGGGGGCCGGCGTCACCCGCGCCACTTGGACGCCTGTGAAGGCCTCGGGGCTGTGGGAAATGACCACTGCGATACAACGGAAAAAGTTTGGTTTAGTATTGGCTATTCTACAGGTAGTATTCATTCCCGGATTGGGGCTTTTTAAAAGTCGGTTTTAGTATTGGGGCACTGTTTCGCATTAGGGAGAAGGGATAAACCCCCATTTGAAACCTCATTGGGGTGAGAACAAGTGCATCAGCTGGTATGGCACACGTCATACGTAGTGTCAGGACATGTTGCGCAAGCGCCTTGACAAAGCATACCTTTCACATCGCCCGTACAGTTTTTCAGTTGCATGGTGTGCCTAGCTGTTTCCACTGTTCCGTGGCGGTCGAGGAAGTGAGAGCCAAACGCCTCCAACATGGTGAGGCCCGAGCTTCACTACATGCGTTTGGCATTTGTGACGTAACTTGACACCATCGTCGAGTGGATTCCTGTGACCCCCTGCTTCACTAAGCTTCCTCCCCAGTGCACAGAAAGACAGGGACCCAGATCCAGCTACAAGGATGGGACCAAACTGCTGCACAGCAGGAAAGCGCTGCAAGACATTCTCCGCAAAGCGGTGATCACCGACGGACGCCGGATACAGAAAAGTGTTGCCCAAACAGGGTTTGTCTTGAAAACGGGAATTACCCCCCAAAGTCAATGGCCGCCTTCTTGCTGCTCTTTTCTGAGTTCTTTTAAGCCAGCCAGCGCCAAACAGCGTGGCCTCAAAAAAGGGTCGCAGCCAAAGGCCCCAATTGCCCGCTCTCGCGCCTGGAGATGCGTCACCGACGCCAACGCCGCCAGCGCCAGCACCAGGAGCCACGGGGCGCGAGCCTCCAACGCCATGGCCGGCAAGTCGGCTTGGCGCGGCGCGGGCTGGAGCCAATGGCTGCTTTGGGCCATGTTGGCCATGGACTTAAACAACAAACCACCTCAAAAGCGGTTGCTGGACATGAATCCGCCCTACATGGTGTCCACCAAAGGGTTCCCCATTAAAAACTCACACCCATGAGTTGAGAGTGAACCGACCCGCCCCGGCCCCCCTGTTTGGCGCCGCAGGAAAGGGCTTGAAGGACATGCGATGTTTTGACCCAAGGTTCTACTAAGTTCCGGGGAAGGGGGGGCTGAATATTGGGTCCTACGTCTTCCCTGATCAGAGGAGCCAAAGTCCAGGAAACATCGACATGTTCCATGTATGCAGCTGCCTCCAACAGTTCAGTTCACTTTCCAAAACGAAGGCAATAATTGGTGCTGATGCTGTCGCTTAAGTTCCATCCCCACAGTTGGCAGACCGTGCTGCCAAACACCTGTGCTCATCATTGCTGAGCACATGCACTTGTCTACATGTTTGTCACAGACATTCACAGAAACGTACCGTGCCGAGCCATGAAACGAAGCACCTCTCGCAGGAAGTAACATATGTGCAACACAAGATGCACACTCCAAATCAATCGCACTTGCCAACCAAAGTCGGCTGAGGTCAAAAGGCGCCTTGGCCGGATCTCCACACATCAAGATGTTCTCGGGCTTGAGATCTCGATGGACCTGGGCTCACAGTGCCATCCCTTGAATCGTACGCCCTTTTCTTGCTCTGGTAAGCCCATTTCGAGTCTGAGCACTCAATAGCCCAACCACATGAAAGTTGAGAGATTGGCGGATGAACGCGAGCCAAACTTGGAGGGGCACTCTCAGCTTTAAAACCTGTTGAGACCCAACAAGAGGATGTGAGTCCTAGCGTGACCTTGAGGGAAGGAAAGGGCAGGAGAGCAGAAGCGTTCCAAGATAAAGAAGCTACATGCCTCTATCAGACCAAGGCAAAGCCCGCCTCCCAGCCCAACCCCTGCTAAATTCATATGGTGTGGAAGGCTTAGCCCTGGAATGGGAAAGAAGCTGTTGCCAATGTTCTTTCAACAAACTATGAATTGGATCAATTACAGCCAAATTAACAGTTACCTTGTCATATTAGCGTGCTAAATCACACACGCACATGGTCAGAAGCCTCAGGTAAGATTACGGTTTTCAGAGGGAGCCAGCCCACTTTTCACAGGGTGTCTCTTCTCGCATGCTATGGGTGATTCTCGCCAAGAAAAGTGCTGGCTTGCAAATGGAGAAAGCACCCAAGAGAAGTTCTCCGAGTGACTCTTCCCTCATGTTGTGAGTCCTTCCGGCAAAGGCAGCTCCGAGCAATCTTTGCCCTCCTAGCCGGCCTTTCGCTCTGCATGGTCAACTAGGCATATCTTTTCTGAGGCTGAACTTGTTTGAAGTTGCTTAAACAGGAAAGCCGCATTTGGGAGAGCAATGTTTGGGGGTGCCCCGTTTGGGCAGCGCAAATCTGAACGGACCATTGTCAGAAAGTGGGGCGCGGCGCCTGTGCAATGGCCCGCCTGCACTTCTTGCAGCCCGCAATTTCTGGCTGTTAACTCGATGTTGAAGAGAGGGTGTAAAAAGCACTTTTTGACATGTTGATACCCTTTGTGTATGTTTTTTGTTTCAAGAAAGCAAAAAACAGATTCCAACTTAAAAACATGCCCCTCTGACTTTGCAACTTGCCAGTTGATACGCTTCACTTGTTGCATCCGCGATGCAATGCCATACTTGTGCAGGTGGGTCAGCGCAGAAGCGACGTCTACAAAATACCTGGCAGGTTGGGAAGCGAGGTGCCTCGCAGCAGACAAACAAAAACACGTGTTGCGCGTGTGAGCCAAAACCCAGAGCTGTGGGAAATGCAATCCACGAATCTGTGATACAGAAAAGGCTTCCCACAGACTAACTCACATACAAGGTGAGATTCCAAAAGTATCACTGAAATGGTTGGATCCCCCTTCCCCTGGCCAAAGCTGACTTCAAGCACGCCGGCCAGCTGGCCTCGCCGCATCGGGCTCCGGCAGCTTCCCACGGGCCCTGCGAAACCGATGGATCGGGACAGGCGGAGGCGAAGTGCTCGATGCTCGGGTGGGGGAATCGAAGTGATCTTCGCAACCCCTTGGTAGGGCAGCAAGTATTTCTTAATTTGTTTGAGCGGCCCCCCAACAAACTAAAAATGAACAGAACCGAAAACAAAGAACCAACAAACAACTCGCCAAGAACAGTGAAGTGATGCTGGAATACCTGCGGATTGCATTCAGCACTTGGTCTCTCATGGAAAATCCTAAATCGGGGATCTTGCCTGTTTTCAGAACGGCACTCCGGCACTTGTGCTCTGAGCGCAGTTACTGCCGATCAGCTTTGCAAGCAGCAACCATGAATTCACTTTAAAGGGTGTATGCTTCTATCTGCACCAACCCTGTCAGAGTATTGTGTGTTCAAGAAATCTCCAGGCACCACTCCAACAGGAACCCCCTTTGCAAAAGCTTGATCACCTCCTGTCAATCTAGACTCCGTCAAGTCAAAAGGGCAAACAGGTCCTCTCTACAAGCTACGTGTCCATAATTGTTGGCCCTGACAAAAGGCCTGACTAAGAATCGCTCGTTGCAGTGGATTCAGTTTTGCCTCCAAGACTCACAAACATACGGTGTCACATGGTAATGTAGCAACAGGGCTTTGGAGCCACGTCCATGGGCATTCGTGTTACCCGTGAATCCTAAAGTTGGAAACCTGTCATGAGCAACAGCAATCTGCGGATCTGACATCTGTGATCATGGCTTCCGAGCGCCCGCCTCAGAAGGGAGAACAAAGAGCCGCCACTCGCATACTCCAGCAGCAGTAGCACATGGTGCTCATCTTCGAAGTAGTAGTGAAGCTGCACGATGCCTCAGGGCTACAGGGCTGAACCAAACGTCCCAGGACCGAGTGCTGTGCAAGAAACAGCCCCAACAATCACACGTGCCACTTGAGCATCAGCAGCATAAGCTGTTGAAGCACGGCAAAAGAGTGACTTTCCATCAAATGGCATGTTGGTGTAAGTGCATCTTGCTAAGGACTCACAGGATGGCCGACTTTCGTGGATTCGAATTTGTCAGCACGTCAGGCCACGGGACATGCCCTCTCCACCCTGCGATCATAGCTGTCCCAAGCCACTCAGAAGCTTGCAACTTATCACGCAGCGGCACATCATGTGTAAGAACTCTGCAGATCTCCGTGTTGGTTCGACAAGCAAATGCGCAAGATACAGGGAACAACTGACATTTGCTAACAACTGCAAGGACAGCAGCGGCATGTCGCCACGGTCCTTCCGCTAGTTTGTCCGTGGCCCGAGAGGCACTCTCAGCTTCAGGACTCCTTTATAGGGTCTCAAGTGGGTGGCCTAAGTGACTCGAAATATGCGTATCTACAAAAACACGTGCGTATATAGTTATGTACATGTATACTCAAATCTATTTTTACATTGCATGCATAACTGCGAACTACTGGTCATGCTTAATTAAGAATGCTGGTCCAGGAACAATTTCACAAATCATGAGAGAGCAACATCTCCTTCGCCACAAGCCCGCGGCATGGTAATCTTTCCGCAGGGCAGTTTCATTTGGCCCAACAAACCCAAATGGCAGTGCGACGCATGCGTCCATTGCCAAGGTGCAGGGATGCGCAAGCTGCATCTGAGTCTTGACTTCCCTCATGAGATATGCCTGGCGGGGGACATTGGAGACATGTACAAGACAGGTTCGCTTGAACTTCTAAACCCGAAGCACGCAAACGGGGCCCTGCCACAGAATTCAGACTCTGGCCGTCCAATATCTCACGGTATGCAACAAATGTCCATTGCTAGTAACAGCGACTGCTGTAGAAGCCTCAGTAAACACTCTTGGCAGCTGTGATCCTTGTGGCAGCTGGCATTTGCAGTGCCAAGGGCATGTATACGGTTTGCAGTGCCGACGCAGGCAGGGGAGGGGTCATTTAGGCGCTCATCCCTTTTAGCACATGAAGGAATCCCTCGCTCATTCGTCAGACCCGCCGCACGGCATGACCGTCCTGTGGCTGCCCCACACAAAACGTAAGCAAGTTTAATCACGGCCACAAACTGCCACTACACCAACTCCCCAGCAACGGCAAAGATGCAACATGTCTCACAACATCCTTATAGACTTGGACATGTTCTGACGAACGGCACAATCTGCCTTGAGGGCCAAAGGAATGACGGGACTTGATCTCACTGATTCCCGGACAAATCAATCAGGACGATTACAAATGAACTAAGTTCGAATCGGTGCAGGAAGACTTGCATTCGAATGGCTGTCACCCGCTGGCCTGCATCCCTTGCTCTATAACCTTCTGCTTGGGCACGGCTTTCATCGCAAAAATCCTCGGTGGCTGCATGCCTCTGTATCACAAGGCGATTGACTGTTTGTCCCGACGCCTGACATACTGTGACGTCCTTAGCCCTACTAAGCATACTGAGAAGTTTGTTGGTCGTAGCAGCTGCAAAAGGCCTAGGTGCATGTAAAAAAAACCTTCGCAAACGCAGTTGTTCCTTCTACTCCGGGAGGTGATCTGGACGGATTTCATCTCATTGGATGATTTGCTTAGCAGGCTTTTGGGTAACTCAGTTGCTAGACTGCTGCACCTGAGAACCTGCAAGAAGGATGACAGCATCATGCGCATCTATGACATCCCCTTTTGCCGCCAGTCCAACTGCAACAAATAATATGCCTTCAAGTAGTGCGGGAATCTCATGGTCGCATGCAGCTCAGATCGGCAAGCAGCGCCAACCACGGCTGACCCGACAAACCGTTCAAGGCTATTTTGAGAACCACTTACTTGCTTATCTGTCCTGAGCTCAGGGCATCTCAAGGCCTGGGGTGAAACACCCTTCTGTCATTACACGAACCTTACGGAGCTAGCACGGGCCCCTCTGGACAGGGTTTCAAGCACGTTGTGGCTGAAAGCTTGCCTTCACTCATTTGACTGCA